ATATATATATATGGCAAACTCCTCTCTTCTTACACCAGAGTTAGTCATGGAGTTCCTCAGGGTTCAGTGCTTGGACCAATCCTCTTTACTTTATGTATGCTTCCATTAGGTGAAGTTACTAAACAGCATGGGAAAAATTTCCATTGTTATGCTGATGAACTCACCATAGTTGTCTCTGTGATGGATCCAAAACTGTTGATGAAGATGTTGCAGGTGACGTTGACAGGAGGACCTGACAGAAGCAAACAACATTGTGAAAACTATTTCCCCTAACTGCTGACACCAGACTAAATCTTCATTCCAGCATGTTCCCATTGCTGCAATCTGATTGTTGGATCGGTAAAATCCAAAATATTTCACAGAGTCATTTTCAGATGTACTAATTTATTGATTTTTTTAGTTATATTGTTGTATTTACAGATAGTCTGCTGGGATTTACCCCAGCTTCCAGTGACTGACAAGGATGTGGAGCAACGATGAAATAAAGATGAAATGCGACCCCARAGGCTAAGGGTGAAGTCTGTCAGAGAGAATTTACTGACTTCACTCACAAGTGGGGCTCAAGATTGGACTGAAATAGGCCTGTGGGGTAGCATGCCATGGTGACTGCACTTTTCTGTCACCATCAAGTGTCTTTGATAAGAGATTTAAAAAATTACACCAAAGGCTGTGGGTCAATATAAAACCATGTTGTTTTTTTTTAAAGACATATGTCTCACATTCAAAATGAGCATTTATTTTTCTGTGAGCTGTGTTTACCTTTGAAATTGGGTCTGATGCGAGCGTCGTAGCCAGAGGTGCGCCCCATCAGTTTGTCCAGGAAGTCCGACGGAGACGGGGGCTTGGACGCTCTGCTGGGGAACTTCATCTCCTTACAGAACACAGACCTGCCAGGTGACGGGCCAACCACACCATAAAATGGGTTTTTACCTATTTGTTGTGTCAGAATTTTATTAAACATTTATTATGTCTATTTTTGTCTGAGAGGGGTTGCGAAACAATGTGAAAATATGTACTTGATCTTAAATATAAAACATTTAAGGCTAAATAGGAAATGCTTAATTTACTATTTAAATAAAAGCCCAATGTCATCCATTGTAAAGTTGTGTTTCTCTTTGGTATAACTTTAAAATCACTAATCTGTACAGGAGTATTTTGTAGGTGATGTTTTATCATTTTAGATTATTGATTGTACAGCTACAGTTATGTTTCACATTCTCCACTCTACTGCTCATCCCACAAATGCACGTTCCTTACAAATGTGGCACCATTTAACAGGGTTTTCAACTGTATAAGATTTATTGCCAAGAAGCATCGTTACATCAAAGAAATAATTTACCAAACACTAATTTTCTTGCCTTTTTGTAAGTTTATTTCCACATCCTTCTTTTTCATGGAGACAGGCACTCCTTTGTGAATTTTGGAGTAACTTTAACATTGCACTGGAACAAAATGTTCAGTTACACCAAAACAAATTAATTAAAATAGTTATGTTTAACATTTAGGTTTAATGTAATGTTAAGTTCAATTTATTAATTTCATTTAAAGACCACACCCTTTTTTTAATCAGGATATGACAGATTTGCTAATTAGATTATAAGATGTTTAATCAGTTACTGGAAACAGATTAGTAGACAACTTTCTAGTTTCATGTTCAATAGATTTGCAACTTTAAATACCCACAGAAAGTATGTATATTACAACCACACTGACATTAATTAAAGATACCTTGTTGGGTAAAGAAGACTATCTACTGTATATTTCCGGGTTTGGCTTTTAGAGGCATCATCTTAATGTTTTCACAAAGGGCCAAATTGTAAGAATATTCACAGTAATAATGAATTTTCTATGGACTTATTTWCTCCTGGCAGATCTGCTGTCGTCATTATAAATCATACAATATTTAACTTGTGACAGAAGAGTTGACGAGATCCTTGCAGCGCTGGAACACTACGAAGCTGTCAAAACGTATCAAATGCAGCACGCAARCAAATAAGCAGCCGAAATGTTTGCACTAACAGCACGCAAATCAGTTTCTTACCTGCCTTTATGTAGAAAAAATACAAATGAAGTCCACAGCCAGCATAGGTTGTTTAGAAGCATTCCTAATCAGTAAAAACAGCAGATAATGTTTTTTTTTCCTTTTTAAAGAATTAAAAAATGGAATGTAAAAAAAAATTAAAGCAAAGGGAACTTTCTTGTAGCTCTTCCAGTCAGTCTGTCTGCTGGGCTCAGATCAGGTGTAAAAATACAGGAAGCTGCTGCTGCATAATTCAAAATCCAAGGGAAGTTTTTTTTTTCTCTTCTTTTCTGTCTGTGTTTGTGTGGATGACTTCAAGCTTGATCTCTTTTTCATGACCATGTGATTGCTGAAAGAATTACAGCAAGAGCCCTTAAAGACACAGCACCATATTCAGAGCGGGCTGGCTCCTTATGAGTCTCAAGCTTTTTTTTTTTTTTTAGGATTTATACATGATTTAAAATCAAACTGTTGGCTTAGATCAAATATTTTTATTCAATTTTTTTAAAGGTTTCATGTTAAATTTACAGGGTGAGCATAAAACATTTCAAATAACTCAATATCTAGTATATATTAAGTTTTTTTCCTTGATGTTGAAAAAACACGGTTCTTAACTATAATCAAGTAGGCTGTTGGTAATGCTRATGGTGGATGTAAATTATTTAAATACAGCAAGTCTCCTTTTGAGTATCTACTCAAATTAATCCATTTTTATATTGCCAGTTAAACTCCCAACACAAGATGTGGAAGCTCATGTTTATTCCTGCACACAGAGGGGGCGGAGGTTCAGCCGTTTGCTCGTGCAAAATTTATGTCAAGGGACGCAATGGGACGTTATGACTGCACGTG